AAGAATGGCTTCAGGTAAAGAAGTGAAAGACTGAGAACTAAAAGTAGAATGAGTATCATGAGACCTGGGAAGAACAAGCTTGCCCCAAGAATAACTAATCTAAGTTATCACTGTGTTGAAGGTGCTATGTTGTGTGCCAGTGCAGCATGGTAGTAGTAATAACAGTAATAATAATATATTAATGACAGTAACAGCAGTAGCTAATATTTATACAGTACTTACAATATACAGATATGGTTTTAAATGCATTACATGCATTAACCCATTTAACCTAAGAAAAAAGCATTTTTGACTCTAAGACAAAAGTATTTAGGCAAAGAGTCAAACAGGTCTGGGGTTAAATCTTGGTGCTTCCATTAATGGTCAATGATCTTGAGTAAGTTACTTTACTTCTTTAAGCTTTAGTTTCCTCATGTCTAACTGGAGGTGAGAATACCTAACCCACAGAAATACTATGAGAATTACTTTACACACACACACACACACACACACACACACACACACACACACACACACACACACCCTATCATAGTGTCTGATATCTGGCATATATCCTGGTAGCTATCCCCTTATTTTCGCTGTAAATGTACTTATTAAATCTTAGGACCAGAAATGACATTCTGTAGTCATGCAGAATAGCATAGAAAGAGGTAAATCTCTTTTCTTCCTTTCTGAGTTCCTCTTGAGCCTTTTATTTTATTTTTTATTTTAAAGATGTGGGGTACAATTCAAGGTTAGGTATACAAATGTTCATTGTGTAGGCACCCTTGTTCATGAGGTGTGCCTCTCATTCCCCAAGCAGTTTCCCACTACTGCTCCTCTTAAGCCTTTTAAAAAATAGTATGCATTCTATATAATTAAGCTTTTCTCAGAATAAATTATACACGAAAAATAGAATATTATAAAAAGATCCTAGAGAAGGTGAGAAGATGCATTGACTAATATCAAAAATAACTCAACTTTATATTTAGTGCTTGGTAGATTCACTTAGTTACCGATTGCAAGGCATAGTGGCAAATATCGAGTGAATTTACTTCTACAGATAGTGCATATTTTTTTTTTTTTTAATTGGAGTCTCACTCTGTCACCCAGACTGGAGTGCAGTGGTTGCTCCCAGCCACCGCAGTCTCGACCTGCTAGGCTCTGGCAATCCTTCCGCCTCAGTCTTCCAAGTAGCTGGAACTATAGGCGCGTGCTACCACGCCCGGCTAATCTTTTTTTTTATTTATTGTAGAGATGAGGTCTGGCCAAGTTGCCCAGGTGGGTCTTGAACCCGCGGGCTCAGGCAATCCACTCACCTCAGCCTCCCAAAGCACGGGATTACAGGCTGAGCCACCGAGCCCATCTGATAGTGCAGATTTTAAAAATAAATCCATATTCTCAAACCATATTGTTGATAGTATAAACTGAGGAAACATCTTTGGGAGTCACTGCAGAATTGAAGGTCAAAGCAAAATATTAAAAACAGCCTCAAGATTCATCAACAGGGGATTGGTTGAATAAATTATGCTACTGCCATACAATGGAATAAAATACAGCTATAAAAATAATAAGACAGTACTTCTATATATACTGATTTGGAACATTTTCCTAGGTAAATTTTTCATGAGACTAAGAAGAGGAATAGTTTTCTTTTCTACTACTAGTAGATATGGGAGGAAAAAAATATAGAACAGTGTATAACATACTACTATTTATGTTAAGGTGGAGAGATGAATGTAAATACTATACATTATACAGCATATGTTTGTCTCTGAAAGGATACAAAAGAAATGAGTAATCATGGTTACCTCTAGGGCAAAAAAAGTCTAGAAATGAGAAAATGAAGAGCAGAGTTTGGGGAAAGGTTTCCTTTTCATAGACATTCTTTATATCCTTTGACTATTTTACTATGTAAAATATAACCTACTCAAAAATTAAAAATCCATCAAAAAGACCTTTAGAATAGCTTTAAAGTTTTTAGAATCTTTACCCCAGGGAATAGTAGTGTTAAAAATACTGCATTTCCTTAAAGTAAATAGTGCTGAAAAGAATAAAAATGGCATATGGCTGGGGAAATCTTCCAAAGAAACTACTCTACACAGCCATCTCCTGTTCTTTTCTCTGCCTTTTAAGGTCACAGTAACATGATAGAAATTCTGGGACTCACACCATCTGTCCAGTCAGTTCTATCACTGCTCATTTCTCTTGCTAAATAATCAGAGCACTTCACACTTCCCAAACACTGCTACTATAAAGAGCAGTTAAAGCAGAATGAAAGAAGCTTTTTCTATCCAGAAATGTAGTAGTTGGAAATGAACAGTTCTTTTAAGGTTTTCAGGTTTCAGATCATGTCATGAGAAGAAAAATTCAAGCCTTAGAAGGAAATTTAAGAAAAACAGGTTTCTAATGCTAGCTTTAGAAATTATCTTTCTTAGAAAAAAGGTGACACTCGTGTATGAGTTCTCTAAGAATAGATGTAGCAATTTAATCCTGAGATAATTATACATGTCTCTAATATGAAAATTTTTCATGAGATTAGGAAGAGGAATAGTTTTCTTTACTACTACTACTACTACTACTATTACTACCACCACCACCACCACCACTACTACTACTGTGGTATTAGTAATAGCAGTCAATAATTACTTAGCATTCAGGACGTCCTGACACCTCTCAAGGCCCTTTTCATGTGTTAACTCTTTTAATCCTTAAAACCATTCTATATGGCAATTTCTACTATTATTTCCATTTTATAGTTGAAGAAACTTAGACATAGAGAGGTTAAATAAATTGCCAAAGGTAGATATATAGCTGAAAAATGTGGAATTATGATTCAAAAGCAAGCACACTAGCTCCATACCCTTAATTTCTGTTATACTATCTTATTGCTTTTTAAAAAAAAAAATGCATCTAAATTATACATTAAATTTGCCATCTCTATCATATTTTGAATAAATATACTACAGTGAAGCATCAAAAATATTTACCCCCCCATTCATGTAGCCATAGTGACATTGTCAATGATATATTCATTAACGTACTAATTTCTGTCTTATAATCAGAGTTTACCCAGCATGAAAGAGTTTGTTGTCAGAAAGCAAAATAACTTTTATAATAAATAAAAGTTTCAAGAATATGCTCTGGAATCAATGTCAATTTGGGGATAATTTGTGATTTTGAAAAAAAGGGTTGTATTACTCTTATACCTCCAGAATAAGTTTAACCTTATATAAAGATTCCTTGCCTTTAAGTAAAGATTCAGGGATCCCAGCAGGATGTGTTGGTGCACCCAGGAGAAACCAGAAGGAGTTTGAAATTCCTCCTCTGTGTTTACAGAATATTTTCCTTTGTGCTCAGTGGCTCAAATTTATTTACTGTCATAAGCCCTAATCTTACCTCTTGGTGAGGTAAATTTATACCTTCGGTCATATGGCTACCAAAATAATGGCAGTAAAGATAGAAATCATATGTTGATAACACTAAATAATAACAATAATAACCCTTATTTGCTGATAACTTACTAAGTGCTAAGTACTATACTGAGTGCTTCATATTGTCAGGTGTATTAGGGAGTGTGGAATAGTGGCTAAAAGCATAAACTCTAGAAAGAGACTGCTGTCTGACTCCTATACTTACTTGCTGTGTGATCTTGAATAAATAATACTGAAATTCTAAGTGCCTCACAGAATATCTACCTCCTAAGGTTGTTGTGAGGATTAGATAAGTTGATACATGTAAAATTTTCAGATAGTGTCTAACACACAGCAGTATTACCTAAATTTAATTGATAAAGTTATTAATGTTCAGAAAACCTGAAGGCCATTAATTAGAGTGGAGATGAGGCTCCCCAGGTCTGCCTGACTCCAAAGTCTATGCTCTTCAGGTTCTCACTGTCTCTCTTTCAGAATTGAAACAGGCCAACTGCACCAAAAAGGAGAACACAGTTATAGTTACTCTAATGCCATTTTATCTTTTCTCACTAGAATTTGACAATGGCAGCAACAAAAAACAAACAAAAAAATCAAATAGATGTTAACAATGCCAATCTAACATACTGTATTTCATCAATTCTGAGGAAACTTACTCCAATTTTTCCATCTGTAAATCAGGTGTCTTACAATTATAATTGTGTTTTTCCTTTCTTGATAGCACATAAAATAATGATGCATCATGTAATTGATATTATCTTACATTTGTAAAAGTTATGGTAGCTGTTAGGTTAGGTGTGGTGGCTCATGCCCATAATCCTAGCACTTGGGAGGCCAAGGTAGTAGGGTCACTTGAGATCAGGAGTTCAAGACTAGACTGGAAAGCAGTGAGACCTTGTCTTTATAAAAATTTTTTAAAAATTAGCCGGACGGTGGCACTGTAGTCCCACCTACTTGGGAGGCTGATGCAGAAGGATTACCTGAACCCAGGATGTCAAGGCTGCAGTGAGCCATGACTGTGCCACTGCACTCCAGCCTGGGTGACAGAAAGAGACTCTAACTCAAAGAAAAATAAAATTATGGTAGCTCTTAAGTCCGGTGAGTTTAAGGATTAGCCCTCAGTCTATAACAAAGGCACATTCTAAAGCTTGCCCAGCACTCATGGCCTCCGCCCTGTTCAATTCCAACTTTTTTACTTAAACTTTAACAACCTTAACTGTTTCCTGCTTAACGACCTTTATCCATTCCCATATAACTATCAAATTCCTACTGCTCTGACAATCACATTTTTGGCTTAGGCTCTAGACTTGATTTTTGTGTTCCCTGCTTTGGTATCATCTTTCTGATGATGACAGTATCTAATTCTAATCATAATGACTCCTTGGATTGACAAACCAGACTGTCTTCATAGTTTTTCTCACTCCATAGGCGTAAGTGAACTCTATGGGTACTCTGAAAAAGTATTAAGTAATAACGAAGCCTTGACAGAGGTTTTCTATTTTTGTTTTTCACTGTCAATTACTTCCTTATTTCTACCTTCTGCAATTATTTCTGTAACCTCTTCATAAGTAAAATTTATTTGATTCATACTTAAATTTTTTTCCTGTTTTGGCCTGAGTGCCTCCATTCCACATGTGGTCAGTCTCTTCATAGAAGAAAAAAATGTCAAGTTTTACATCATCTTTTCCCTGGAAGGATAGTTCCAAGCTGTCTTCTACCTAGGGGGAAGAGGAAAACCTTCACACACTGAAACAAAGGAAATATATTTTTAAAAACTTAAAAAAAAAAAGGAAACAAAGATTCTTACATTTTACATACATAGAGTATTAATTCTAAGATATACTTTTTCAACTTAAAGCACCTCTGAAATTGGGATATATCAATAGTACGTTGTTGTTTAATTAATTTATTTTTAAAAAAATGTTACTATACAGATGTGAGGTACAAGTCAGGGTTAACTACACAAGTAGGCTGCATGCAGGTAATGTTTGGGCCTCCAGCTGGCCCTCACTTCCCCTGATTTAGGACCAGGTACACTTTGTATTGTTATGTTAATATATTTCTTAACTGCATCTAAAATAATGTTGCTTCTTATAATTGACGACAACTAAGAGTAAATAACTTATGGTAGTTAAATTATCACTCTGCAGAAAAAGTAGAAACATCTGGCCGGGCTGGGTGGCTAAGCCTGTAATCCCAGCACTTTGGGAGGCCGAGGCGAGTAGATTGCCTGAGCCTGAGGGTTCGAGACCCGGGCAGCTTGGGGAGACCTCGTCTCTACAATAAATCAAAAGATTAGCCGGGTGTGGTAACGCGTGCCTGTAGTTCTGGCTACTTGGAAGGCTGAGGTGGAAGGATCTCCGGAACCCAGCAGGGCGAGGCTGCAGTGGCCGGGAGCGTGCCACTGCACTCCAGTCTGGGCAACAGAGTGAAATTGCAACTCAAAAAAAAAAAAAAAAAAAAGAAACATCCTGTTCCAAAGCAGCTTTCTGACTAAGGAAGAAAAGAAACCAAAGAAAAATTACTCTTTTTAATAGTCAAGTAAAATGATAAGGAAATAAATCTCTCATTACAATCATTAAATAAGTATTGAAGTAAAGTGATGTTCCCCACAGCTATATACATAGGATCTTGTTATATACATAAAAAATAAAAGTTAAGATTAAGAAAGAGAATTCTGAGAGCATTTCCCTAAGAAATTTATCACACAAATAATTACATCCCCATTGCACTTGGCACATCTGTCTGCTACAGCACCAATCACATAATAATTATTTATGCAGTTTTCCCCCCTCCCAATTAGACAGTGAGCTTCTCAAGGGTAAAAGCTATAATTTATTCATATTTGTGTAGCAGGTGCAGAGGACAGTGCTAGATATACAGTGAATGCTCAGTAAATGTTTGCTGAATGACTAGAGTTCTATTGTTTTAAGTCTGACCTCAGGAAAATATTTTATTACTTTTTTTTTAGTAAAATAGCATGATTATTTACATAGAAGAAACAATTTTTCAGAGACTAAGTATACTTTACTTGCTTGTAGGATAAGACCTCCCAGACAAGCAAATTAAGAGCAAGATAACTGCAAAAGAAACATAGGCTTAGGGCATAGGAATCAAATTGTCCAGAGGGAGATTTCATCTAGGCCACGATGATCTATGCCTGACTGACCTTTGAGCAAACTGCTATAACCAAGGACATGTAAGATAAACAAGAAATTGAAATTGTTTAAAAAATTTCTATATTTCTCCCCTTAGCTATCAAAGGACTATTTAGTGTTGGTAATGACATTCATACATGAGTGAGCATAAAATTAAAAAACTCATGAGAAGTCATGTAACTTAGGTGGGGTGGGTGAGTAGAATTCTCCCTTATATTAATTGTATTTCTATATTACATTAATTTTATATTATATTTTTGTCTAATATAATGTCAATAAATTAATTTATGAGTCTAAAATTCTTCTTTCCTCATCATTAACAGAAAGTCAAATTTTCTAACTTTTCCTTAAACAGTAAAGAAGTTACAAATGGTAACAAGTGGTGAGCTCATCCTGGTCAACACTGAGTACCCGGCTAATTTTATTTTTATTTTTTTATTTTTGTAGAGACGAGGTCTCACCAAGTTGCTCAGGCTGGTCTTGAATCTGTGGGTTCAGGCAATCCTCTCACCTCAGCCTCCCAAAGTGCTGGGATTATAGGTGTTTGCCACCATGCCCAGCCTTCATATGCAGCATTCTTAACTATGTCTAAGTTGTTTAACATGAACTTTACAATTGAGATGTGTTACTTATGAAATGAAGCTGATTTTTGTTACTGACCTTCCCAAATTTGTGTTTAAGTGGAAGTCCTGCATCCTGAAATGCTAAAATAATATCAGATTTGTAATCTTGTATAAAAATCCCTAGGTCAACATCTTTGCTATAAGGAATAATGTTGCACTGCCGATACCATCCTAAAAAAGAAAAGAGTGATAAAATTATTTTTTTAAATTTGGATTTGAAAAAAATTAATAATTATAATGAATAATCTTTGTAACAATGAGTTAAAAAAAAAGACAGGGTCTCACTACACTGCCCAGGCTGAACTCAAATTTATGGTTCAAGTGATCTTCCTGCCTTGGCCTCCTGAGTGACTGGGACAGTATGGATTTTATTTCATAGAATTAGACTCAAGGTGCTTTACTAAAATTATTTTTAAAAAATTAAATCCCACTGGCACGGTGGCTCACACCTGTAATCCCAGCACTTTGGGAATGTGGAGTCGAGAGGACTGCCTCAGCTCAGGGGTTAGAAACCAGCCTGAGCAATATGCTCACCATATTTTTTTTTTTAATAAATCAAAAAATTAGCCGGAAGGGGTGGCGCATGCCTGTGGGTGCAGCTACTTGGAAGGCTGAGGTGGAAGGATCACCTGAGGGCAGCAGGTCGAGGCTGCAGTGGTCATGAGTGTGCCACTGCACCCCAGCCTGGTGTGCCACTTCACCCCACTCCTCCTCCTCCTCCTCAAAAAAAAATTAAATCTCATACAAAAAGACTTCACTGTAGGAGTCACCTAAACCTTCTATCTACCTACCTACCTACTTACCTACTTTTACTTGTCTGAGTATTCTCTGCTTCCTAAAAACTATCATGAGTCTGGGTGCAATGACTCATGCCTGTAATCCCAGCACTTTGGGAGGCTGAAGTGGGAAGACTGCTTGAGCCCATGAATTTGAGACCAGCCTAAGCAACGTAGCAAGACCTGATCTCTACAAAAAAAAAAAAAAAAAAAAAAATCAAAAAATCAAAAAATTAGCTAGGCATGGTGGCATGTGCCTATAGTCCGAGCTACTTGGGAAGCTGAGGCAGCAGAATTGCTTGAACTCAGGGAATGGAGGCTGCAGTGAGCCAAGATTGCACCATGGCACTCCAGTCTGGGTAAAATGAGACTAGACTAAAACACAAACAAAAACTTCATGATTATTTTAATATCTGAATAAACCATTAGCTTTAAAAATGTTAACTGGGCCCTCCTTTTAAAGTTAAAATGCTGTTAAGAATGTTTTATTTTTGCTTAACCAATATACCTTTCCCGAGCAATAATTTGTAGAACTTAACAGTTCTAAATGGTGCCTATCTGACAGGTCACATAAAAAGAAAAGCAGACAGATGTGGTGGCTCATGCCTGTAATCCTAGCACTGAGGCGGATAAATTGCTTGAGCCCAGGAGTTCGAGATCAGCCTAGGCAACACAGCAAAACCTTGTCCCTATAAAAAATAAAAAAAAAATTAGTTGCGTGTGGTAGCATGTGCCTGTAGTCCCAGGTACTTGGGATGCTGAGGTAGAAAGACTGCCTGAGCCTGGAAGGTCAAGGCTGCCATGAGCTGAGATCATGTCACTGTACTCCCTCCAGCCTGGACGACAGAGTGAGGCCCTAACTCAAAAAAGAAAAAAAAAGTATCAGCTTCAATGTATAATATACTGCCAAAAGATTATCTGTAAAAATGCTTAATATAATCTACTTTTAAATTAGGTGTCATGCCATTGCTCCAAAAAATAACATATATACTTTATTATTAAATATTATTATTACCTAATGACAATATTAAGGTCTCAAACTCTTGGTCTTCAGCAATCCTCTCACCTCAACCTCCCAAAGTGCTGGGATTACAGTTGTGAGCCACCGTACCCAGCCTCATGAAAGTTTTTGAGGAAGCTGAGTACTCAGACCCAGTAAAGATAGGCAGGTAGGTAGGCAGGTAGGTGTAAAGAGAAGGTTCACATGACTCCTACAATGAAGTCTTTTAGTATAGTATTTAATTAAAAAAAAATAATTTTGGTAAAGCACCTTAAATCTAATCCTATGAAATAAAACTCATCCCATAGCCCCAACCACTCAGGAGGCCAAGGAAGGAGGATCAGTACTTAATTACTGATTATAATACTTACATATTATTAAATACTATCATCTTTACATATGATATATTATATATATTACTTGCACACTAATAGAGGAGACTCCTGGGTCTCTCCTACCATCTTTCTAATCATTCCATTCAAGTTATTTAAAAATAAATGACTACAGTTTTCCTTACAGGTATTGCTATTAGGCAATATTATTTGAGATGCTAAAAGAATTCTACCAAAGAATTATAGATTATTAAAAATGGAAGTTTCCTTACTTGTCATCTAATACAACCCTCAGATTCTAAAGTAGCTCCCCCTTTATCCATAGTTTCACTTCCATCAGTTTTAGTTACCATGGTCAATCACAGTCTGAAAATATAAAATTGTGAATTCCAGAAATAAACAATTCAGGGGTGCCCAGACTTTTTTGCCACTATACAATGCATTCATGTAACCAAAATCTATTTGTACTCTTTAAAGAAGTGGTCCCCAGCCTTTCTGACATCAGGGAACCGTTTTGTGGAAGATAATTTTTCCATGGACTGGGGAGTGAGGAGGGGATGGTTTTGGGATGATTCAAGTGCATAACATTTATTGTGCATTTTATTTCTATTTCTATTTATTTCTATTATTATTACAATCATTGTTCATTACATATAATTAAATAAATATACAACTCACCACAAAAAAAAAAGAGATGCAGACAAAAGTGGTAAATAAAATAATGGGCAGGCCACACACACATAGACTAAAATAAGGGTTGGATTCTGACTTAAAGCCTGCCACCAGATGCAGCTACACAACTGAAGTACATCAACGCACTTGCCACTCACAAATAGGGTTCTGATGTAAGTCCACAAACAACTGATTTATTAGTGCAGTCAAACCTTACAGCTAATGTTAATCTGTATTTGCAGCCACTCCCCAGCACTAGCATCACTGCCTCAGCTCCACCTCAGGCATTAGATTCTCATAAGTGTGCAACCTAGCTCCTTCACATGCTCAGTTCACAATAGTATTTGTGCTCCTATGAGAATTTAATGCCGCTGCTCATCTGACAGGAGGTCAAGCTCAGGCAGTAATGTGAGTGACGGGCAGCAGCTGTAAATATAGCGTTGCTTGCTTGCCCACTACTCACTTCCCACTGTGTGGCCCTGTTCCTAACAGACCATGGACCAATACTGTTCCATGGGCCGGGGCTGGGGACCCCTGCTTTAAAACTATTGAAATAAAGAGAAAAAAGAAAAAAAAGTTTTCAGTAAAAAAAAAGGCAGCCAAAAAAAAAATTCTAAAGTTATAAATTACTTTTCCGTATCAGCCTAATACTATATCACAATGCCTACCTACATCTTTCGCTTCACCTCATCTCATCAGTTAGGCATTGTATCATCTCACATCATTAGAACTAGGTTGAGTACAGTACAAGAAGATATTCTGAGAGGCAGAGATCATACTCTCACAACTTTTGTTACAGTATATTGTTCTAATTGTTCTATTTTATTTTTACTTATTGTTGTTAATCTCTTACTGTGCCTAATCTATAAATTAAACTTCATCATAAGTATGTATGTATAGGAAAAAACAGAAGAGTATATAGGGTTTGTTACTATCCAAGGTTTCATGTATCCACTGGGGGGTCTTAAAACACATCCATATAGATAAGAGGAGACTACTGTATAGTCTACATGTTCTGAAATGACTTAACGAAATCAATAGATCCTTGTTCCATGCATAAATGTTTATTCTGTCTGTAAATATGATACTTCAAATATCACCAATGTTTTGTTATCTCAAGAAGTCATTCCTAAAGTCAGAGAATGAAATTAAAAAAGACAAATAGAAAGTAATAAGAATTTTACCTAGACAGGTTCCACTGCTCAGCCAGAATTGTACTCCCAATTTATTTAATGTTTTAGCTGCTACTTGCAGTAATTCCTTTGCATTCTTCCGAAAGGTCATAGCTTCCACAGTGTTATCATCAAGGTACTGCTACAGATATAATAAATAGTCAGCTATTACAGCCATTTCTAAATTGCTAGGGACATTTCCATGATATTTGAATTAAATCTAAAAATTAATCCAATATATATTTTTCTATTATAAAAATCACATTTATGGTTGTTAGTCACACATCATTATTATTATTTTTTATTTTTTTGAGTTGGAGTCTCACTCTGTCGCCCAGACTGGAGTACAGTGGCCGCTCCCGGCCACCGCAGCCTCGACCTGCTGGGCTCCGGCAATCCTTCTGCCTCAGCCTTCCACGTAGCTGGAACTACAGGCGTGCGCTATCACGCCCGGCTAATTTTTTGATTTATTGTAGAGATGAGGTCTCGCCTGCCCAGGCGGGTCTCGAACCTGCGAGCTCAGGCAATCCACTTACCTCAGCCTCCCAAAGGCGCGGGATTACAGGCTGAGCCACCGAGCCCGGCTAGTCACACATTAAAATCAGAATATAGGAGTAGAGTCTAGAAAAGACAAGTTAAAAGGGAAAGGATGAGACTTACACCTTAATCAGTTCTCTGCAACACAATTTAGCAGGCTGGACAGTTAGTGGAAAAGAAAGCTAATTATAAGAGCTGAAGTAAAATGAATTCAATGTTGTTTCATCATTCACTAATGCTATTGGACTTTGAAGACTGTATAGTACAGTAAAAAGAGCCTAATTTTTTGAATCAGATTATCTGTGTTCAAATTTAGCTCCACTGCTTTTTTGCTGGGACCGTCGGCATAATCATCTTCTCACAGAACATAAGCTCTATGAGGAAAGTGACTTCATTTTGTTTACCATCGTACCTCCAGTGCATAGAACACTGCCTGAATAGTTGTTGAATGAATGAGAGAATGAAAGAATAAACAAATCCCTCTTATCTAATTTTCTCATCTGTAATTAAATAATAATTATTATACTTTGCAGGACTGTTGTGAAGACTTAAGAAGAAAAATGTCTTGAAAATTATAAAGTCTTACACAAATATTATCATCATTTAGTTAGTCATCTTGGCTTTATGATTTTATTTTTAGAGTGTTTTAGAACCGAGGAAAGCACTATACATTCTACAGTTATGTTTCACTATCTATTGGACAAAATCTAAACTTCTTGGCCTTGCAAACAAGGACATGGTGTTCCAGTCCTCGACTACCGGTCCAGCTCCATCTCTCCTCACACTGTTCATATTATGGCAATATCTTATAACTTCCCAAATATGCTTTTCAAGTCTCTATGCCTTTATGCATGTTGTTTCCTTTGTCTAATATATCCTTGACTAATAAAATCTTTCATGTCTCAACCAGCCACTGAGAAAACATTCCCTGATTTTCCCAGGAAGATGGATGTATTTATTCTCCCAGTGTTCCTATTTAGGAATGTTCCTATTCAGCATTTGTGAAGCAAGGGATCATGTTGGGTACTAGATATACAAAGACAAATGAAATAATCTGTTTCCTTAACAAGCTTATAAGAGTTACCACTTGTACATACTTTTACTATAATTTGTATCATATTTAATTATAACTGTTGATTTTACTTATATTCCATTAGACCATAAAGATGGTTCCTTGAGGGCAGGTACTCTATCTCTCCATCACTGCATCTATGGATTTAGAATGGTTCCCGGCACATAACATATAAGCAACACATATTGATGAGTCGATACATGAATAAATAATTGATTAAGCCACTCCCATGGCTACAAAATCCTATGCCTAAAATATCTTATAATTATTTTACAATATAGCAGGAGAGAATACAGTTAAGTGCCCCTACAGAGGAAGTGAGTTTCCTGCAGATAAGTTACTGTCTACAAAACATAAAGATTATATAGAATCTCTTCAATATGAACACACCCCATTCCTCAGAGTCATAACTTCTTTTAGAACATATGACTTGAATGAGAAATACATGTTCTTATCCTTGTGGCAACAGAAAAAGTCTGGTGCTAGGAGTTTGAAGACCTAAGATTTAATCTATGCTCAGCCAATGACAACTGTGTAACTGACATCTTGAAACCTCAGTTTTCTTATCTGTGAAGAAAATAACTTCCTTATTGCACAGAGTGACTGAAAGGATCAAGTAAACAGCAACTATGGAAACTCTGTACTCTACAAAAACATCAGGTCTGATAGTTATGTTCTGCTGGGGCTGCCGTCTGTATGGATATACTCCCACCTTTGATATACCTTTCCTAACATGACATGGCATTTGAATAGGAATTAAATAGTAATAATGTGTGTGTTAATTTCCTAACTTTTGTATTAGGCCATGTAGAAGAATGTTCCTATTTTTTACAAATACTAAATTATTTCAGGTTGTAAGGTATCTGATAATCAATTTACTCCCAAATGGTTCAGGAAGAAAGTTATATGTAGTGTACTTGCAGCTATAATGTGTTTTAAATTGTTTTAAAATTATTATTTTAAAAAGAAGAAAGTTAAGAGGCTGCTCTATGAGGTCTATTAGTTTGTTTTACATCAAGCATTGTATTTAAGGCTGTTTGGCGCCATCTAGTGTTCATAAACATGCATGTTCAGTTTAATTTTAAAACTGACCCTCTGGATCTTTGTGCCATGTACCATGGTAGATGTTGGGGCTACAGAGGTGAATAAAATAACATGCCTGTCATCAAGAAGTTCACAAAATTTAGTAGGGAGACAAGACAGATGTTCACAGTTCACTGTGATAATTGCTACAGCAGAGGTGACAACCTGAGCAAACACCTTAAGACACAAGAGTTAAGTAGTCAAGTTTAAGCAACAAAGTCCATCTTTCCTACTTCTTATTATAGAGATATGTCAGGCAGCACCCTCCTACTAGAATAGGCTCATACACGCATGTGGATTTCCAGCTTTCCATTTATGAGGTCGATTGTGTAAATTTAATAGATGCACAATTATAGATTTAAGGAAATAGGTCTAGAAAGGTCCACTTGGGTTGTCAGGCCTAGGTCTTGTGTGCCAGCACACTGTACCAAAGAAACCTTGTATTTGTGGGTCCTCAGCACTTGACAGCAATAATAAAGCTGGAACTTCATTTTATATTGTTTCTGTCCTTGTGTATACAGCTTTCTTGGCAGAGAGCCCCCCAAAACAAAGGACAAGTAGAAAGATTAGGGTACCAAAACCTCACTGAAAATTTGCCTAGGTTCACTGTATCTCCTCTTTTCATGTCATCTTAGAGCTGAATTTTTATGCCTTTCAAAATCATCTTTATATGCCCAGGGTCAGAAGTCTGAGAAAAAAGAATTTCAATAAATATTTACTGAATTGAAAACTATGCCAGTAAAATAAACTTTAAAAGCAATTGATCATTGTGTACCATTTATCTTCAAAAACCTTCACAAATACAAAAAATTCATATTCAATAGTAACACTTAAAAAACCGTATTTTCATGAAGTCTTTTCTAAATCTACCTGACCCATCTTCTACAGTGGCTTCATCATACTTGGATTGCTTCAAAAAGAGAATATACTATCTTTTATAAAGTTAATGGGCTATCTTAACTAAGGGTTAAATCTATCTGGGTTCTAATCAAATAAAACAACTAATAGATATCAATCTATTAGTTGAGGAAACAAATAGTTTAAGATTTTTAATCTGCTTCTTAAAAAATTAAAAGGGGCCAGGCGCAGTAGCTCAAGCCTGTAATCCCAGCATTTTGGGAGCCTGAGGTGAGAGAACTGCCTGAGCCCAAGGGTTCAAGACCGGCCTGAGCAACATGATGAAGACCTTGTCTCTACAATAAATCAAAAAAATAACTGGACATGGTGGCGCATAACTGTAGTTCCAGCTACTTGGAAAGCTGAGGCAGAATGATTACTGAGCCCAGCAGTTCGAGGCTGAAGTGGCATGAGTGTGTCACTGCACTCCACCCTGGGAGTAAGACTCTAACTCAAAAAAATAAAATAGATAAAAAATTAAAAGGAAACAAGTTAGAAGAAAATAGATGAATCAAAAAAAGATTTTCTTACTTATTTTCCATAAGTTCTTTCATTTCCCCATCCCCAAATATTAAAAATAACCACAATATTTTCTTTAATTTAGAAAGTAAATTTTTTGTTTGCATCTAACCTGAAAGAATGCTCGAGCTTCTTTATACCTACACTCAATAAACCTAGAGTGTGGTATTTCTTCTACAAAGTGCACTGGATCTTTTGGAATGAGAACTTCTAGCCCATCAACAGCAACTTGCTGTAACTCTGGCCTGAAAACAAAAGTTAAGATTTAGTTAAAGAATCTAACCCATAACATTGACAGCTTCTTAAAAATATTAAACATTAGCAAAATAGCTAAACATCAAGTATATTTTCTTCAATTACCTCAGATATCAAATAGCAACTTTAGTAAGACTTTGAGAACCTGATATCAAACAGCACTTGAGTTTTAAATATTTTGATTAATGTATTTTAAAACAGTTTTGTATTTGTTTATACATACCTTGGCATTTAAGCAGAAAGTAAAGTGACATAATATTAAACTATCAATTTACTTTTAGAGAAGTAAAAATACCTAAGATACACAAATTCCACTGGCCTGAGAGTATCATTAATGGCAAAATGTAAATCTAAAAATTGGTCTTATGTATTTTGAATGCCATGCTCTACAAATATTCTTTGAGAGTTTCCCACTCCTCTTTATATAAAATTATACAATGTAGAGATGACTTTTATCTATCGGTACATTTTTATGTTTAATAAGTATTTGCTGACTGACAATTTTGAACTTTATAAAATTATTAACAAAACTTGAAATAAATTTACAATGCTTTAAAAAACTAAAAGGTAATATCTTCCTAAAGAAACTATTTGAAATACAGAATAAGAAAAAAACATACATAAAAGTGGTAAGAGAGTAGTGGTTATTAGTTGTGCACAGTGGCTCACGCCTGTAATTTCAGCACTTTGGGAGTCCGAGGTGAAAGAGAACTGCTTGAGTCCAGAAATTTGATACCAGCCTGGGCAACATAGCAAGATCTCTACCTACAAAAGTGAAAAAATAAGCCATGATGGAGGTGTGCACCTGTAGTCCTAGATACTTGAGAGGCTGAGGTACAAGGATCACTGAGCCCAGGAGTTCGAGACTGTGGTGAGCTGTGATTGTGCCACTGCACTCTAGCCTGGGTAACAAACAGAGTGAGAAGACTCTGACTCAAAAAAAAAAAAAAAAAAAAAAGAGAATAGTGGCTATTAAGATTTTGACTAAAATAATAAGAGGAGCCAATATTAACAGCAAAATATATCCGTACCCCTACTCTTTTTTTTTTTTGGTCATTTTATTTTGAAAACCTGGATTGGTTCAGAAAAGGTTTGACTTCACATAAACAAAAAATATAGAAGGCTCCAATTTTAAATACATTTAAAGTCGTTTTCAAATATGTAATTTTAAGGACTAATAAGAAGGCAAGAATAAACATATTCTTATACTTCTCAAGTATAACAGATAAGCAATGTCTCTCTGGAAGTCGCCGAGATAGAGTTTTTAATGTGAAAATTCTTATAAATACTAACTGCTACCTTCTCATCAGATTCTGGTATTCAAAGCAGACTGTTACATCATCATTAGTGACTTCAAGAGAAGAAAAAGTACAGTTCTAGGTTAGAAACATCATACTTAATGCCCAAACTCGAGAACATTTTCTTATCCTGCAAGTGTTAATACCATAAGACTAAACTAATGAAATTTATGAGTCCTTCAAATAAATGTTTCTCATAAGAAATATTTTTATTCTTGTGGTAACTAAGAGTGAATTTTTGCACATAGTTTTGAGAAGTACAGAAAAATACACATAACATAAAGACACAAAATAATGAATTATAAACACCCAAATTTCCACTACAGAAATGGAATTTTGTCAGTGTTCCTGCAGTTCTCTACATGTCCTACCATTCCCCTTAGAGATAAACTCTAGCCGTCTCTTCTGGTATTCCTTTCTTACTATTCTTAATATTTTTACTATAAAAGTATAAATCCATGAACATAATTTAGCCTGTGTTTCAACTTCTTACAGATGTAATTATATTTGTATTCTTTTGGGCCTTGTGTCACTCAACATAGTTGAATTCATCCATGCTGTTGCACAGTCTTCTAGTTCATTTATTTCTCTTCTGTATAATATTTTATTCTATGAATGGCTAAATATATATATATATATATATAGAGAGAGAGAGAGAGAGAGAGAGAGAGAGAAAGAGAGATATGTTTGTGTAAATTTATCCTTTTATTGCTGAAGGACATTTGCGTTGCTTCTAATTTGAGGGCATTAAGACAATGTTACATACACATTTATGTGAAATGCATATTTCAATATTAAAATGTAAAAAGAGTGCAAAAATTCATCTGAACAACACTCATTTTGCATTTCCCCTTTTGACTCTGAACTCACCTGTCAAAAGCTCCAGGGTAACGACCGAACTGTAACTTTCGAAAGGGAACAAATTTCCTATCAATGTGTCCTTTGAGTCGTAGATGGCCATGCCAGAGGTAGTTACCACTCCTCTCATGAAAGACCACCAAGTGGATGGCATGAGCTGCCAATTTGCAGATATAGTGCAGGGGGATTTCAGTTCCAGAAAGTGAGTCTATCCCATCTAGACGGGGATCTTTGCTTTCAATCTTTAGGCACTGAAACCCCATATTCTCAGCTATCCGAAACCAACCTTCCTAGAACCAAAGAAACATCAAGCTTGAATACTTAAAACCAAACACTAGTAGCAAAACGAAAGTGATTTTTATATTGAATTGAGCCATATGTTTGTGCTAATCTGTTCTTTGTTAAAATATTTTAAAATGAGGGTAATGAACAAGAAGGAAGTGCCTGGAGAATAAAGGAAACTAGCAAAATGAAAAATCATAGCATGGAAGATATAGCCAAAGGCACACTTTATGAAAAGTAATACAAATTTCTTCCTTGGAATCATAATGCTTATGTTAGTGTTCTCTGGTTATTTTCTATAAAGTAAATGTTAATATTAAGGATAACACTTAAAATTAAGCTTTTAAGTCTTAATTTCTAATAACCTTTATCTTCAAAAGTACTTCAAAAAAAATAGTTCTTTCATCTCAGAATTTATATCCCAACACCTTAAAATACTACCACAAAAGAACCCCATCATAATGCAAATCATTAAAATAAACTGAAACATAATGTGAGGCAAAGTGCACTTTCCAACATTATTAGTTTCATTAGTTATCAACTGTAGAATTCCTCTTTTCTTTCTAGGTACATTTGGGGTGGAAAGCACTGATTGAGGGTGAGGGCAAGGGAGGCCAATTCTGAGAAAAACACTACTGTGTAGAATAAAGGCAGTATAAGCTGGTAAATTCAGGAAAAAACAGAAAGGACAGCCAGACCGTCAAAGGAATGTGACATTAGGTTGTTGGAGCAGAAAAAGACTGATAGACGAAATAGGCAGGACTATAATATGGTCTGCCTTCTTAGAACTATCAGGGAGAGAAAAGTCGAGAACAAAATAGTTATTCTGATCAAGCAGAGTAAAGGCCTAGGTCAAGGCTGTGCTACACAGATCTACTCTCAGTTGCCTTGGCAGTGGTTTGCTCACTTTATGGTAATGGCATTAATAAAGGAAATTCATGTGCAAATAGCCTATAGTTATTAGATTTAATGATATAATTAGCTCCACCTTGGGAGAAGTTTTAGGGAGGACTATCCCAGGGCTCTTATACGTATGATGTCAGATGTATAGAGGATAAACTTGAACCTGTTTGCTTATTCTGAGTATAGCTGACACTTTGCTTCTTCCACTGACTCTGGTCATATTAGTTTTGCCAACTGTACCATGTTCCCTTTCTCCTAAAATAACAGTTTCTAAGGCAAGTAGCACTGTACCCAACAGACATCTTAGAAATTTGTGAGGATATTTTTGATTTATCATAATAAAAAAATGACATTTTAGAGGCCTACACCAAGAACACTAGACATCTACAATCCAAAATATGAAAATTTATCCAGTTACTAAATTCAAATGTCCTGACAATCACGTAGTGAAAAACTTGGTTATAATTATCTGAGTCTTTATTTCCCAGAAATACAATAGACATGTCAATGGAGAGACAACTTTATTTTGTTGTTGTTGAAAATTTATTCACTATTTTGGAAAATCACGTTACTAACAATACCATTCATAGTATGAGTTTATATTTGTAGTTATCACATTCTGTAATCCTACTTATGAATACAAGCAACTGAATTACTTTATTATGCTTTCACACCTGAGCATTCACACACTAAAATACACATTATTTCCTTTTATTTTGACACTATATTATAGTTAAGAATTTTTTTTTTTGGAGCTGGAGTCTTACTTCATAGCCCAAGCTGGAGTGCAGTGGCACACTCATGGCTACCCCAGTGTTGACCTGCTGGGCTCAGGCGATCCTTCTGCCTCAGTCCTCCAAGTAGCCAGAATTATAGGTGTGCACTACCACGCCCAGCTAATTTTTTATTTTATTGTAAAGATGAGGTCTTGCTAAGTTGCCTGGGCTGGTCTCAAACTTGCGGGCTCAGGCAATCCATTCACCTTGGCCCCCTAAAGTGCTGGAATTACAGGCTGAGCCGCCAAGTCCAGCCTAGTTAAGAAATTATATTGATTTTGAGAATTATGTATATAGGAAGGTTATAATTTCTATGAACTTCATTTGGGGAAAATAAATAAATATTATAAAATACTCTTTGTAAAAATGGGTTTGTAAGTCTTACATAGGTTTTTTCTATGAGAAAATCGATCAGTTCAATAAAAATGACCTACAGATATTGATATTGAGGAGTCTCTCTCAGTGAGAAAGTAGCATCCTTCCTCTCAACCCTCTTGATGAGGGAAACAAAGAATTTCAGAGATGCAAGTCATGACATCAGTGGGCGGTTAAACTAATACCAACAGCCACTAACCTTTTAACCTCTTATACGAGAAAAATAAATCCCCTATTTGCTTTAGCAATCATTGTTTTGTTACTTATAGCTGAAAATATTCCTGACACAATTTATAAAGAGTTTAACTTTTGGGGGGGAGGGGTCGAGGTCTCATTTTATCACCCAGGCTGGAGTAGAGTGGCACAATCACGGCTCACCACAGCCTTGAACTCTTGGGCTCAGGAGACCCTTCTGCATCAGTCTCCCGAGGAGCTGGGACTACAGATGTATACTACCACACCTCGTTAGTTTCTATGTTTTTGCAGAGAAAGGTCTCAGTAGGTTACCCAGGCTGGTTTTGAACTCTTGGACTAAAGCGATCCTCCTGCCTCAGCCTCCCAAAGTGCCAGGATTACAAGCATGAACCACTGTGCCTGGTCTAAAATTTTTTTTAACATTTTACATTTTAAACTAGTTTAATCCCATACTATTTTTTAGAAGGCACATATTCCATTATTTGAAAACAAGTCACTTACCTCAATCTTCCACAGGTGATACTGTAATGCAAATGCAGTAAAGTCTCTTGGAACACAGAAAAACGTGCATTCTGAAGTGGAGCCATGAGAAGTATTTTTGACTTGTTCAAAGTTTTTATTAATCAATTCCAGAATCAAAGGATCAATAAGAAACACTGGTACGTTTTGGCTGGATGTTAGCATAATAAATTTTTTAACTGCACGCTGTTTGAGAGAAAAAGAATCCTCTTAATTTCACTAAATCACTACAACAACCTATTTTTATTAAAGTTTTATTCATTAATTTGATAAGAATGCATAGTGCTTACCCAGTTGATACCAGGTTTATCACTGTGCTTAAAAAGTACACAAATAAATTACACACACAGTTCCTAATCTTCTAAGAAAATAAACAATTATTTACAATATAAGGTAAAATACGCTATAATAAAAATATATAAAACATATTATAAAAGTACAGGTCAGTAAGCTACTAATTTACTATACATAAAAAGAATAAGAACTCTCCATAGAGAAAGTGGTGTCTGACATGAAAGCTCTGGGTTTACAAATCATTCTCTCGGTATTAGCTAAATCTTCTCAAACAAAATGAAAAAAGAAATTATTTGTCAGCTTGAAAAAATTAGTTATGTCAGCTGGGCACGATGGCTCACGCCTATAATACCAGCACTTTGGGAAACCAAGGCAGGAGGATCGCTTGAGCCAAGTAGTTTGAGACCAGCCTAGAAAATATAATAAATTGTGTAAAATGTTAAAAAATTTTAGGCCAGGTATCTCTACAAAGAAACCCCAAAACTTAGCTGGATGTGGTGATGCATGCCTGTAGTTCCAGCTACTTGGGAGACTAAGGCAGAAGTATTGCCTGAGCCCAGGAGGTTGAGGCTGCAGAGAGGTGTGATAGCACCACTGCACTCCAGCCTGGGTGACAGAGACCTCAACTCAAAAAATAAAACAAGACAAAAATCAGTCATGTCAATCTTTCAAAAACAAAAATCGTGTGTGCTGTTTTTCTTCATATTTGGAAAGTTGCTTAATAACCTTTCTAAACAAAAGACTCAGACCAAATACAATGTCTCCTTGATCATTCCCATACATAGTTCACTCCTTCAATACTGCAATATTTTATTTTATTTTATTTATTATTTTGTTTAATCAGTATTTTTTATTATGATTTTGTGGGGTACAGTTAAGGGTTAGGTGTACAATTACGTTTCATTCAGGCACCCTGTTGATAAGAGGTGTTTCCCGATCCCCAGACAGATATTTGCGACTGTTAATCCCATCCCCCTCCGCCCCCCATAGTTTCCCAGTACCGTCAGTCATTTTCTTATAGTATTACATTGGATG